GGGGGTAAGAATGACTGGATGTTGTGTATTGTCTTTCTTTCGGCCCTTGTGTCTCTCTATTTGCCTCAGTCTATTCGTCTGTCTGTCCTTCTCCTTTGTCGGTTTGTCTATCATTCCCTACACGCGCGTCTCAGCAAGATCCCTTGTGTTGACCTTTACTTTCGGAAGCAATCTTTTAGCCATCAAACTACCATGTTGTACCACTCCTAACACATTATAAGTTTGGCATGGTAAAACAACTTCTACCGTTTTACTGTGATATCAAAGGAATCTCCTCCTTTGCTTTGTTTGATTATACACCTTCCCTCCATTCTCCTAAGGGAAAGGTTGCATGCCAAAAAAATTACAAGCCATATTCGTCATGTTAACAAAATGCATAACAGTTTTTCGTCAAACACTGCGCGGGGACTTTGCCAGAAAATTCAAAGCGCGTGAATATACACGTTTTGTGCATGAAGGAAACGTGTGTGTGTGTGTATATGTGTGCGTGTGTGTGTGTGTGTATGTGTGTGTGTGTGTGTGTGTGTGTGTGTGTGTGTGTGTGCGCGCGCGTGCGTGTGCGTGTGCGTGTGTGTCTGTGTGTGTGTTTGTATCCGGGCGTGTGCGTGTGTGTGTGGGTATTTTTGTTTGTTGTATGTGAGTGTGTGTCTGTTTGTGTGTATGTGTGTATATGTACATGCATGTGTGTGAGTGTCTGTATGCCCTATCGAGTACGAATGTATGCATGTAAGCGTATGTCAATGTGTGTGAGCGTGCATGTCTGTATATAAAGGGTGATAAAAAAACAACAACAACTATACAACTTGTTTTGTAAATATCTTCCAACATACTAAAGTTTTGCGTTTCAGATTTGAACATAGTATTTGGAAGCCAAAAGGAATTTGTCGGATATTCATTTTAGGTAAGTCCATTGAATGGTTTTGCTCTGTAAGGCGCATTATAAAAACAACCTATTTTCAATCTTACTCTCATTTTTGTAGCATGACGCACCAGTTCGCATTAGGCTTACTACTAAAAGTTGCAACAATCACACCATATTACGAGCTACAGCAGTCTAACAATTCAACAGAAGTCTGCATATATTATTTTCCCAAATTTCGTTTGCCTGCTGAGATCATGGTTAAGTTTAGTAAAGAGCAGAGAGCTTTTTGTATAGAACATTACCTCTTACGTGCCCTAAAGACCTTTGATATCATGAGTGTAGAAGTTTTGTCAGTTTGGATCTATAGCAAATCAGAACTAAAAATGTCCTAAAAAATGACCACTTCAGGTCGAACATGCACCATGCAAAGCCCCGGCGCAGAATTCAATAGTCGAGCCCCATGAGACGTCTGTCCGTAGACGATCTGCAGCTAGGACTTTCCTACACCTCAACAGTCTGCATTCTCATGGTAGATCTTAACCTACGGCGGTACCAATTTTCATCTTCGCTTGACCAAGATGACATGGATCAGAGCATGGCAATGTGTTCATGATTCCTGGATTGTCTTGAATAGCAGGAATATTTCCTCGAAGACATTTGGTTTAGTGCAAAGCCCATTTTCACCCCACGTGATATGTTGACTCCAAAAATGCTGTCAGTTGGGCACCCCATTTCCTATTTCTTCTAGAAGCCACTAAAAATTGAATATGTAAAGTGTATGTGGCTTTAAACACTCCTGGTTTTGTAGGTCCTTGTGTTTGCACGACATTGGACATTTCGAATGACACCGTAAAAATGTGTCGAGTCCAAAGGAGGGCACGTAGAGCACTGCTTTTAGGAGTTCCAGAATGAAATCGTTAGAAATTAAATATTGTTTAGATGTTACAGGGAAGATAAATGTTATGGCAAAGAGAAAAAAAAAGAAAAAAGTCAACCAATCTTTTCACGACTTCCTTTACAAGATTTTAAAAAAATTGATGAACTTTGCGTTGTAGGGTGCTCTTTTCTTTAATCAATTTCCGTTCTCAAAATAAGCTTCTTCTTCGTAAATTTTAAGTCAAACAAATTCCTTTTGAATGAATTATGTCTGTTCTAAAGTAGAGCTTTTTAGAACAATTTTTGTGCGAGAAATTTAGAAAAAAGTTGTAAAGTTTTTTTTATCACCCTATATATTACGTGTGCGTTCTATTGTGTATGTATGTGTGTGTATATTCACATATATATA